CAAATCAACCCAACAGCGGAACAACCGGTTGCTATGATGTGCACTGACCACCAGGAGGCAGATGCTCAACACAGGAGCTGTCCCTTGGTGGTCAGTGTGCTCCCACAGGGGGAGCGCTGCTCAGCCACAAGCCGGGCTGACAGCAGGCCTAAGCCATCAGTGGGACATCTCCCAAGGGTTCCCGGACTGCTAAAGCATGCAGGCCGGGCTGAGGGACCACCCGCATCCCACCCCCCACCCCCCCAGTGCACAAATGTTGTGCACCGGGCCGGACCTCTAGTTTTTGTATAAACACCTGCACTAGTTACTCCAGATAACTTAAAGAGTTGAGATACAAAGCACTACTGTGAAGGGCGTACTAGTTTAAAAGCTAAAGGCAAGTCATTTGAATTCTTTTGTATACAGAAGTCATTATAAGCATCACCCAATTTGCATGTATCAGTTTTTCTGCTATAACAGGGATTTTGCACAGTTTAATCTTTACCATGTCCTGTGAGATGGTCAGGGTCATCCCTATTCACGAGAAAGAGTACTCAAATTGGCCAGATGGCTTACAGGGCGACTATCTGATGCTAGAGTGTGATGCTGCACATAATTGAAAATCAAGAAATGCAAGCACATGTCACTACATCAGAGTCCTGCCCAGGTGACTAAATTTAATATACACATGAGGAGGATTTCTTTTTTAAATATATTTTTATGATTTCAGAGATGAAGGGAGAGGGAGAGATAGAAACGTCAATGATGAGAAAGAATCATGGATTGGCTGCCTCCTGCACGCCCCACACTGGGGATCAAGCCCTCAACCCAGGTATGTGCCCTTGGCTGGAATCAAACCTGGGACCTTTTAGTCTGCAGGCTGATGCTCTATCCACTGAGCCAAACTGGCTAGGGCATGAGGAGGATTTCTTATTGGTAAGGTGAACCCTTAGCAATTAATGAGTTCACAAGTGGACGGGCAAAACTGCTTATGTTGACAACCAAAATAGCTCCTCATTTCAAACCACATTGACCATTTAGCAGGAATTGATGAATTGCTCTGGGAACAGTCATTTGTGATTTTGAAGCTGCTGATTCGGCACAGGAGTGGGCTGTTATATTACAAGCACCTGGAGAGCTTACTGAATAACCTGATTTTATGGGTATAAGAATATAATTTAAAATTTAAACCTTCAGATATCACAAAATATCATTTTATCCCTTAGTTTTGTTATTCTCTTATGCTCATTTTAAACTAAAAATCTTTAACTTCCATGACTGAAATTTTTTTAAGTGAGGTTTTATTGAGTCAAAAATGCTAGACAAAAGACTGGTCTTGGGGCATGGAGTCTAAATCACCGGGGGCATGGCCAGGTAGAAAAGACAGCATGTCCACTGTCCCACCTCCAGTATGGGGAAGGGGAAAGAAAGAGGTAGTCTGACAGAATTCACATGAGCTATGGGCAAAGGTGGGGGACAGTGAAGCAGGGCCAGCTCTGGGGTAGCAGAATCCCCATAAAGAAATGTCCACTCCTATAGATTGGCTGTGGGCAGCAGTCTGGAAAGACCACCTGTAGATGAGCAAAGGCTCCTGGAGTTAGATGGTGCCTGGCTAAAATAAACAGCAGGAAATACCCACCTGGAAATTAATCCAAAATTCCAAGGGGTTAAAACAGGAATGTGAGAAGGCTTTTGTGAGCTGGTCAGCAGCCATTAACAGGCTAACAGTTTCATCTCTTTCACTCTCCAGCCTGCTCTTTAATTTAGAACACCTCAGAATTTTTTTTTTGCTCATTACCCAAAACCATTTCATGGAGTTGCTAAACAATAATATAACAAAAAGTAACAAATTGCTTTATTTAAATATTTCTCTTTTTTCCTTATGTTGCCTCTCATGCTCAAAGGGAAGGGCACAGTAAACCACAAATAAAACCAAAGGACCAAGGACACCCAGTATTTGTTATTTATCAGGAGTGGGATGTAGTCAATCATGTGTTCCTTTGTATAAGAATTATTCCTGATAACAAAGAATTAGCTAGTTAGAGATATGCTGAGTAGCTTGATAATGACTGCATGTTTCTATTTAACGTGGCTTGTCCTGAGTAATTCTTCCAGTATTTCCTCTATTTTTCTCTTTGATTTCATATAAAATATTGAGTGTCCTTTCTTTCCTTTGGTCCAATGACAGACACAAGACACACCACTTGTAATCTTTGGTCTGGGAAAGAGTTGTAATCTCTGCTACCCCTGTGGTCCCTGGGGAGCTAGTTAGAAATGCCAAACCTCAAGCCCCATCCCCAACCTGTTGAATTGAGGTCCTCCTGGTGAGTCATGCATGTTAGTCTGAGAAGCACAGCTCAACCTAGAGTTCCCAGTGTGGCGGTAACTTTCAGAATGGATTAGTGAATGGTTAATCTACAATAATAAAAGCCTAATATGCTAATTAGACCGGATGTCCTTCCAGATGACCTTCTGGATGAAGCCAGGACTGCGAGGGAAACCCAGGTCCTGGGTGCCTGCTGGCAGCCGGAGGGAAGTCCAGGTCCGGGGTGCCAGAGGGAAGCCAGTGCTGGCAGCCGGGGGAAAGAAGGCCTACTCTTGCCCAGATTTCGTGCTTTGGGCCTCTAGTTATTAGATAACTAGCTCTGAGGTTCCTGTTATTCACCTTCCCTAGGTTTCAGTCTCCTCATCTGTAAAGCAGAAGAATTGAACTAGATGATTTCTAGTTCCCATGACTGCTAACCCAAGCTCCCTTTTATTTCTAAGATTGTAACTACTTCATAGCCAGTACTGAAAAAATCATGGTCAGGTCAAACATGGTCCCTCTCCTCAAATATCTTGCAATGAGATAAAACTGACACATGCAAGCAGCAACCAGAAATAAAATATCAGACTGGGTTTGATTGAGAGTGATATAGCATCAACATGAGTTTGCATTCTCAGGAAAAGTCAGTGAAAGTCTTTGAAAGACTAGAATGATTTATATAGATGAAAGTGGAGGGACTGGGTTTTCTAGGAGGTAAACAACATTAGCCAAATACAGAAAGAAGTAGGGAAATGTCTCTGAATAAGTAGGGTAAGGCCAAATTGTGGGAGACCAGGACAGGCAGAATGGGAGTTACATATGATATAACAATTTGAGTTGGAAAATAATATGATCAAAAAGGATTTGGGGAAAGAAGTCTGCAATTCTGATAAATTCCCAGCCAGGATATTTTCAAGTGTTACCTATTCACCATTCTCTCTTTTATTACTATCGAGAATTCTGGTATTGCCTCCAAGGGGCTCCATTTTTCTTCTGTTTTCAATTCCTTAGTCTCTAGGTGGCATCTGGTTTATTGCTCTGGATATATCATTAGCATGTCTGTTCGGTAGTTTAATTTATCCATTTATTTTTCATTTAAATTATTATATTTTAATTTTAGAAGTTCTATTTTTTATTATTTTTCAAATGTATGTGGTCATTCCTTATCATCTCTTGTTCTTTACTTACATATTCAATTTTCTCATTTATGTTTTTTAACATATAGCTATTTCATACTCTGTGTCTGATCATTTCAATATCTTTGAGGATCTTATTCTACTGTCTGTTGTTTCCTTTGGTTCTCACTCATGCTGCTTTATTCCCTTGTGTAATTTATTGTAATTATGTTACTATGAAATTATTATTTTCCCTTGGAAATTATTTGAGGTCTTGATTGATGACACATTTCCTGCACAGAGAATTTACATTTGTTTCTGCCAGTTAGCAAGAGCCATTACCCCAACAGAACTATTATACATTACTCTGTTTGAGTTTCTGAAACCATGTTGATAGTGTGAATGTGGGCTAAAACCTGTATGAGGATCTATCTTTGTTTATAAATAATCAGAGGGGAATTTCTTTTTCTTTTCTATTCAGGAAAAAAGGTAAGCAGGCAAACTTCCTGATCTCTTCTGTACACCAGACTTATTTTTTTTGTCCTTACTCTTGAGGGTGGAGGCCTTTGAAGTATCCCAGGCTATAGGGGGTCCCTGATTAGTCTCACCCACACTGCGTAAACCCATTAAAGCAGATACCCAGGTCTTCCGGGATTTAGGAGAAACTGACAGGGTTAAAGCCTGCTTTAGTGCTTCTTTATCTCCTGAGATTCCAGCTTCCACTCTGTTTAGGAATCAGGATATTCCCTCTTTTCATGCCAGCTCAGCACTGCATTACAAAAGGCTTTCAAACATATTTTCCCAGTATTTCCATTGTTTCCAGATAGAAATGGAAGGCTTTATACAATTAAACTGAGACCTAAGAGTAACTATGTATATGGTGATATGAATAACTATATACATAGATTTATCATTATATGCATTTATGGCATTTCATTTATAAGTTACTTGTCATAACTTAATTTCTGGTTGCATCTGGTAATATTATATATGCTATACATTCTAATTTTTTTCAACTATACTGCAAGAGAAGTTTGCATGCCTTTTGTCACTTTGAAAGATAAAGAAAACATTTGGTATGCAGTTATTATATATTTAAATAAATATAATCAGTTGTTACCTTATTTTAAAATTTTCATTCCATTATGTAGAACGATAGAACTTTTCAAAACCTCTCGAAATAATAGGGTCACAGAAACAGTTACACCCAGGTCCAGCTGGCATAAAGGGATCACTTATATTGAAAATATTAGAAACATTTGAACTGTTGCACAAATGTTAATGCCGGTAAATAGAAACATGATTTCCTTTGAGCAAAGAGCATATTCCAGGAAAAATTGTGCCTGTGCTTCATTTAAGAAAAATGATTTGAAAGTTTTTAGTTATTCACAATTTCAAGAAAACCTTTAAAAAATAGTGTCTCCCTTTGTCTAACGAAGGCTCATTTGGTAAAGCAGATGATGTACCCCTTTTTAAAAAATCTAAGTTCATATGAGACATTTTCGCAAGTAGGTACACATCTCATTCATCACTGCAGTCACTAAAAATAAGCAGCCCCAGCCAGCCCTGCCCTGTCTAACCCATGGCTGTTCTTCTTCCAGTATGTGCGAGTATCTTTCGATACAAAACCTGATCTCCTCTTACACCTGATGACCAAGGAATGGCAGTTGGAGCTTCCCAAGCTTCTCATCTCTGTCCATGGGGGCCTGCAGAACTTTGAACTCCAGCCAAAACTCAAGCAAGTCTTTGGGAAAGGTCTTATCAAAGCAGCCATGACAACCGGAGCGTGGATATTCACTGGCGGGGTTAACACAGGTGATTGGAAGTGGGGCAGAGAAAGGCAACACAAGCCACGAGAGCACTGTGACTAAGATAACTTTCTCCGAAGGTTAAATGTATTTATATTCCCCTGGCTTCTCCTACCCATGTGTCCATACTCACTAGTTCTCTCTTCTCATCATTCTCTCTCCCTCCTTCACCTAAATAATAACTCTACCATTATTTCTCAACCAAGTAGAATTACTTACGCATGAGAAACAGGTTGTGATATTTAATACTTGACTGTACAGAATTTTTAAATGTGCCTAATGTAATACCATAGGATATTTTTAATATCTCAAGTTGCCAAATAAGCATCCAATAATTCTTTTAAAAAAATTTTTTATATTTTTCAAATACAGTTAACATTTGATATTATATTAGTCTCAGGTGATCAGCATAGTGATGAGACATTTATATAACTTATGAAGTTATCCTCCAATAAGTCTAGTATCCCCTGACACACACATATTTATTGCAGTATTATTGACTATATGCCCTGCGCTGTACCCAATAATTCTTTAAGGAATAACTTTTGCTCTAAATTAGAAGCTCTGCCTCTGTTTTTTAATTGATTTTAAGTTTGATGGAAGTAGCTTTAATTTTGTAAAATGCCCTTTCCATCTGAAACATAAAGTATAGTAGCAAAGCCCAGAATATTATTTGCTTGTTATTTCAAATGTTATTAAATAATCTCCACATCAGTAGAAGATACACTCCACTCTGAATTCCAAACAGTTTTTTTCAACCTGCAAGAGACATTTCTACATTGTGATACAGGCAGGTTGTCAAACCAATTCTTACAAACCCACTTATACTGAAGTGCTTATCTGCAGAATTAATGTGCAACAGAGTGGAATGGATGCCTGTAAATTGTTTTGACATATTTCCCCAGCCTGAGTCTGAAGTGCCAATTGAAAGTACACAAGTAATGCCGCAGTGAGTTAATTCAAACTTGTTACAAGTCTCAAAGTCTGCAGATGTAGGCAAACTTGGAGGTCGTGGAACATTCTAACATAACCCCAGACCAACGAGTTTTAAATAAAAGCTTATCTCAGTGTTGTTTATTCTTTTGTTTATAGTTTGGATGATGTTTGGGTGAGTCCTGCACTCAGAATTCTCCTCAATACCTAGAATTTGTGAGCATTCGGCACGGAACTCGATGCGCACAATTCAGCAGTGAACTCTGAGGATTGCCTGAGCTCTTCATTGTTATGTGAAATCCTGGCTTAGTCTGTAACTGACATGATCTGAGGATGACCTGCTCAGTCAGCTCTTCACTGTTTATTTTGTAGTGATCAAATGTCCACAGAGCAATTTTCTTTCAATGACTGTTTAGGCTTCAGGGCTCCAACTTTCACTCACAGCTTGGTAGGCACCATTCACCTGGGATTATTCACTCTGTTGCTCTCCTGACATAACCTGTACCTCATATCGAGACCAACTCAAAATTTCTAAAGGTTCTGAAGACATTCTTACCAATCTTCTGTTTCTGAGTACTTGTTTTTCTTCTTTCATGAAGCACATCTAATAACAAAAGAAGAATTTACAACATAAATACTATAAACCAAAGAGTTCTTTTCTGCCTCATTCCAGGCTTGAGGTTCAATGCAATATTCTTGTGAGGTGACACATTCAGATTACATAAGAGATAATGGTGAGATTATGGCAGATGGAAGGACATTGGACTTCTTGTCCAGGACTACCCTGGAAGGAATTTTGCATGTAAATGGGGGGAATTTTTAATATGAATAGTCACTTGTTTCTTATATTTTTAAACCAGTGCTCTCACTTAGGAGATCCATAGATAAGCTAATAAGTGAAATTGATACTCTTCTCAACACTTCCAGAATAGCTCAACGTGGATTAGTGGTTATTTACACTATTTTGTTATTTGATTTTTTAAATATATTTTATTGATTTTTTACAGAGAGGAAGGGAGAGAGATAGAGAGTCAGAAACATCGATGAGAGAGAAACATCAATCAGCTGCCTCCTGCACATCTCCTACTGGGGATGTGCCCGCAACCCAGGTACACGCCCTTGACCGGAATCGAACCTGGGACCCTTCAGTCTGCAGGCCGACGCTCTATCCACTGAGCCAAACCGGTTTCGGCTTGTTATTTGATTTTTTAAAAGGAGGATCTTTCCGTTTCCTCTTACAAATATTTCAGAATCGAGTTGTTTACACATGTATGTCCCCTCTCATGACTCAATTGCCTGGTGTGTTTTGTGTGCTTAGTCTAGTGCATGGTTTCTGAGCCTTTACTCTGTGCTAGCCCCTGAAATACACAAAGATCAGTATGATACTTATCCCCGCCCTAATCTTCCCCTCAAGGAGTTTTACATTTGGAGACGCCATCTTCGTGTGTGATTATGATTCATGACAGAATATGGTAGGGGACATATTGAGCTATTCAAGATATGCAGACCAAGTCCTGTTCAAACTTAGATGAAATAAAATCCAACTCAGCTTTCATATACAGTGGTGGCGAACCTTTTGAGCTCAGCGTGTCAGCATTTTGAAAAACCCTAACTTAACTCTGGTGCCGTGTCACATATAGAAATTTTTTGATATTTGCAACCATAGTAAAACAAAGACTTATATTTTTGATATTTATTTTATGTATTTAAATGCCATTTAACAAAGAAAAATCAACCAAAAAATGAGTTCGCGTGTCACCCCTGACACGCGTGTCATAGGTTCGCCATCACAGAATAGGAGATGAAACTAGGTGTGAAGTTTTCCTTGAGCCATGGGTGGAATTTTTGTTAGTGGAAACATCTGCTCTTAAAGAATATATTTCATATCTTATATGAAAATTACCATTGAAGAGGGAAGTGAAAAGATTATTAATTGAACCTTCTTTAGATGGTTTATAGAGAGATAAGTTATAGGTCTCCAACCATCTTAGAAACTGAATTTCTCACTTTTAACTACAGTGATGGGGAAGGCCATCATGATAGGAGAGGAAAACTTTTAGAATGATAAAGATAAAAAGGTATATTTATGTATTTTTAACATGAACTTTCCACAGATTATGCCAACATTTTCTTTCCAAGTAGGGTCTGCACATTATGTGTCCATAAATTGAAAGATGAAATTAAGGTTGACAAAATCTGAGCTGTCACTATTCTATTTGACCCTAACTCTTACAACTGTGGTGTAAATTTAATATAATGTTTATATCGTGCTTTTTATAGGATACAGTCATGGAATTGGTTCTTAGTCATATTTAATACATCATTATGCTTATAATACCAGAAAAAGATTTTCTAAGTTTAAAGAATTATATTTATGTTTTTACAGAAGTTAGATGCATTTTTTCATATAAGATGGGTTAAGAAATGCATTGCTGGAGTTCATATACAAGTCTTGACAAATGTACCTGGCATTAGAGGCACAAGTTCATACTCACATAAACAATGCAGTTTGTATAGAAATGTGTCAAAATTGTATATTCAACACATTTAATCTTGGGAGAAATAATAGTAGTTCTCACAATTTATTTTAGAACAATGGAAAGTAATTGCTTTAAAAGGCAAGAATAACTTCTCTTTTTCCTCTTAGGTGTTATTCGTCATGTTGGCGATGCCTTGAAGGACCATGCATCTAAGTCTCGAGGGAAGATATGTACCATAGGTATTGCCCCCTGGGGAATTGTGGAAAACCAGGAGGATCTGATTGGAAGAGATGTAAGTCCTGGGAGTTTCCCCTGTATGTAACTTCTCATAGGGGTGATATCAAAAAAGTTAAATAAAATTGCCATTCAAAATATACACATTACAGTACTCTCTCAGCCCCTACCTCCAAAAATGAAACTTATGTTAGGAATCATTTATTGAAAGACTATTCACTTTCCAAAATCTATCTTTGAAAACTCCAGTGTCAATTCTTTTTACTAAGAAAGTTCCTAAGTAAGACCTATCAACTGCCTTCTTGGCCTGAATCAAGCAGTGGTCTTTCCTCACCTATCAAATCTTGCAAGTGCTCTTGGCAAGGATACATTAAGATTCATTAACAACATGGACCCATTGACTCACACATCAAGAGGTCTCTCCTCACCCCAGGTCTCCAGCTTCTTTATTATTTGAGTGCCCTTCACCTAGACCTGGAACACTACAAAGGGAGATTCTTAGCATAGAGCTGTGGCTTCCTTGGTTGGTCTTTCTTTCACTGGGTGAGGAGTGGGCATAATTGGATTCTGTATTTCCCATTATGGAACTACTCAGAAGCCTTGACCAAATTCAGCAGGAGGCCAACCTCTTTTTTCTATTCTAATGTCCAGAGCCACACACTGACCAATCAATCAACAATTCATCAGAGAGAACTTGGTCTTATATTTATCTGAGTCATCGTCTTATTCATGGGGTCTGTCAAAAAGTCAAAAGAAAAAAACTCAAAGAGGTTGAGAACTGGTCTTAATCTGCTTTTTCTGTTGAATTGCAATAATGTGAAGCCATCTTACTTCAATGCAATACAATATATGCAATTTTTTCAAGTTCAAACAAAATACTTTGAAGAAAAAAATCAAATACCATGAAACACAAGCAGTAAACAAATACTCTTTAAATTCATCAAGGCTTTTATTTTAAGTTATAAGAAGCGTCCATATCAATGTTACCAGTTTACATATAGACATGCTAATGAATGTCAGAATATGTAGAGTAAGGAATGAGATATTAGTTTTATCAGTGGAGTGTCCCTGTAACTGAAATTTACTGGCTGTTTTATATCATACACAAATTAAATATCTCAAGCAGCAATTCCCAAAGTGTTTTGTAGTCAGAAGTGACTGTAAAAGTAATGTTACTAATTTTTTCAGAGTGTCTGAGACTGGTCTTTGATGGAGTATACGTGGATTAGATTCCAAGTTGGCTCTTAAGTGTAGGTTAATTGTGACCTAGAACAAATATATTTCTTAAAGAACTAGACTATGCTACAATGTCCTAATACTAAAAGCACTTATTATTGCATTTTATTAACAAATGAGTTAATTATTTAAAATGTGATAACTCAGAAATCATCTTTAAATATTCACAGCTTCAGCATCTCTATCATAAACCTGTTATTATTATTTGACGTTAGGTGGGAGAGGCATTCTGGAACTTTCTCATTCAAATGACCTAGGGATAAATAGAAGCTGATTATTTCTTTATTCAAGAGAGAGTAACCAAATAATTGTCCCCGTTGCCTAAACATTTGCAGAGAATGCTGTCCTTCTTATAATATTCTGTTTGCTCCTCTTATAAATCTTCTGTGATTGCAGAAAGATAGTACTTATATTGCATTTACTTGTTTTGCTGAGCTGAATCACTCCTGATTTATTTTTCCTCCCATTCCTACATTTTTCTCTGATTTTACCTCCCCTTATGCCATTTTATTCTCCCCCCCCCCCCATATTTCTTCCTACTTGTATGCCAATAGGAATTTACCCATGCCTGTGCCAATAGGATTTAATTATATTGTCTGACTTTCCAATGAGAAATGGTCTTGATACCAGCCTAGAGGGCAGAAAAAGCCACTTGTGTGTACAGTAAATTGTGCACATTCATTGTCCCTGCTCACAGGAGTCTAATAAAGGCGAGCCATAGCTCACCAACATCCAAGTGAACCTCAGAGAGAGCATAGAGAAAAGGAAATGAAATTGGCAGGTTGTAGAAAACACAGGAAAAACGGGTGTATTTTAGTTCTTCAGTAAATCTTTGACCAAGATCCACTGAATTTCAACCACTCCAGTACAGTTTTTCACAAAAACTGGGGAATTGGAATATACATAGAATTTCTCAGGCTCTTGTTTTTCAGGCTATAAATTATTGTAATAAAATTGGTATATATCATGACATAGTTTGAGGGAATTTTTAATATGTCTTTGCTATTCTAGTATGATCATTCAACAAGAATGTAATGGTAGGTTGCCATAAAAAGTAGTATATAAATAAAATGTTGATGATCATGGTAAAAATCCCCCTAAAAACCATCAAAATAGAAATGTTTTCTGGTAAGCTTCTTAAGTAGTTATAACAATTTTCATAGCTATTTTAATTTAGTGCCTCTGCCCTTTTTCTTCTACTTTATATAATTAAACTTGCATGTAATAAACATCAAAAAGATAAACCTCATGTAGCAGGGGGAAAACACTAATGTATTGTTAAAAATCTTTGCCACTACAGAATTCTATCAAAATGCAATTATTTGAAAACATAAGATAGTGGTATTTTTTGTGAAGTCCATGTCTGTATTTCAGAATAATGTTGAAGTGGCACAAAATAAGTGTCAAGGGAAATCTAGGAAATTTACTTGAAATAAATAAAAATATAAGAATAAAAGAAAGGCTCTATTTCTTATCCTTGATATTTACTGCAGTGGATTTATTGCCCAACTGAGAAAATATAGATTATTTTATTTCTGTGTAGTTGGCTCTCAAATGAGCACTTTTAGAAGCTGGACATTCAAGTATTACTAGAGTTATGCTATTTATAGAAGCCGTTGACACAGCAGTTGCTAGTTGCTATTCATCTCAGAATATGAATATCCCTTTGGAATGCTACTATAAAGGCAAAACTAGTTCTAAACATAAAGAAGAACGATTAAATTGCCCCAAGTCTGCTTCAAGATATCTTGAAGCATTTACATTACCTCCCTTCAAGTCTTAGCTCTTAGCTAGACATTAAATTAGACTTTAAAGATACAGGCATGTATTTTTGGAGTCTCAGAGCTCCAATTAGAGCCTCAAGTATAGTAGGTGCTCAATGAATATTTATGAAGCTGAATTGGGCACGATGAAATTCAGGCTACAAGGAAAATAAACATTATGGGGAAAATACTATGATAGATCTTAACTAGTTTACAACTTTATCACACGTTATCTCTAATATATTTCCAAGCTTGATCATACTATAGTGACTATAGTGAGGGCATTTTTCAACCTGGCATATGAATAGAAAACTATTTTCTTATTTAGCAATTCAAGGTGGGAGGTGGATGGTTATGTTGGTAATGGGGGCAAAGTGTAGACTGAGAACAGGCCTTTCTCTAAACCACTGGTTCTCAACCTGTGGGTTGCGAACAATGAAAATACATCCTGCATATCAGATATTTACATTACGATTCATAACAGTAGCAAAATTACAGTTGTGAAGTAGCAACAAAAATAATTTTATGGTTGGAGGTCACCACAACATGAGGAACTGTATTAAAGGGTCGTGGCATTAGGAAGGTTGAGAACCACTGCACCCTTTAAGAAATGCATGATTCACCCAAATGAATGAGAACTAACCTTGGTTCTTTAAATTTAAATTTCTTCTATTCTGTTTAACCAAACATTTCTTTTCTCAATTAATAGGTTAATACAACAGACTTTGGTTAAGAATATTGCTATGAATATTAGATAGAAATACTTTTTTATCCTGAGATTAGACATGAAAATGTATATTGTTTAGCTATTGAGGTGAACCCCACCTCTGTGATTTCTCCATATTACTCTTACTGACCCTTTCTTCTATTACAACCCAAAAATTCTACACTTCAATCAAACTAACCTCAAGACTCACTTCCACCAAGTCATCTTTTCTGACTAACTTTATCCCAAATGTCATATTCTGATTTATCTCATAACTGTCTTCTTCCCCACCTTAATTAATAACTCCTCAAAAATAGAGACTGAGTTATTTTTGTTTGTTTCATATTAACCACTGATGTAACACTTTTATGAACACGAAACATTGACATATCATTTAAACTCCACAAGATTTGATTGCTCCATTTCTAAGTGGATTATAAAAACACCTGTTCTGTCTATCTTCATAAAATTTCTATGAGCATAATCATAATAATGGTAATTATAGTTTATTGGGCTCTTATTTGATGATGCTCTCTGTGCTGGCATAGATTATTATCCTTATGAGGTCTGTGTTATCACTTTTCATAGTAAGGCAGCTAAATAAGGATTAGAACCAAGATCCACTGTCTCTGAAGCCCATACTCTTAACTAGTAGTATGCCAAGTAAGGTATAAGAAGGTATTTAATGATATCATGTTCTTATTATTAGTTAAGGTAATTGGCAAATATCATATGCCTGTAAGTTGAATTAAAAATAGATTCAACAAGTGTGGCCAGAGTCCTTCACTTCGTCCCTAAATAATCTCAACCTTAATAGATGATTATAAAAGTGTCACCAGTGTAAAGTCAAGAAAGAAGTTCCAATGTATTTTAATTTTCATATGACTCATTTTAGACTTGTATTCCTTTAGAAAACAATCTTTCCGGAGTTTTTTCAGGGAATGGAACAATTTATGAAGCCATTATCATTTGTTTTTTCCCAAATCTAGATTAACAACACACATTTCAAATTAAAAACCTAGATATGATCACAAGAAAAAATACATTTCATTTTAACTTGAGGATGAAAATTGTGTTTGGGGAGATTTCCAACACATCATCTTATGTGCTTATCAAATTATCTTGACATTCAAGGACATCTTATAGTTTCCTTAATTATAGATTTATTCTCAGAATTTTATAATCTCTAAGAGTTTTTATATTTAATTGGAAAGTGTTCTTTTGATGTCATTTTGATATTTCAAGCCAAGAAAAATCAAGTTTAATAATACCATTGAATGATAATTCTGGGGTAGTTATCAACTCAGTATATATATATCACTTAATTTCTAAGGCAAGCCGAGTATGACTTCA